AATGACTTCTTACCTTTTCGCTTCTTTTTGCAAAAATATTGAACTCTTTTTTGAATATTATCTTTTTTTTTTTTTTTTGCATTGTACTAATATCAAATAGGTTTTAGCAAGCGAAGAAACCATAGCGTGGTGTGTACAGCAGGCGTCAGCGGATGTCGTTTGCATTCACAGACAAGGAAAAAATCCGGGTATTTCTAGCATCGCTATCTGGCGCGGATGCTGATCATATTGGCTATGGTGATCTGGGTGTTGTATGTGCATGGGCAGTCATCTATGCCATACAGGCAATAGTAGTAGTGTACATGGTTTTAAATCGCAAATATGCTCCCGTTCGAGCTAGCCAGCCTCTGCTTATGACAATTCTTTATTTTGCCGCTGTTATCTGGTATGTCGGAGACATTACCGCTAATGAGCTGGTGCACATGTCAACCGCGCCACTCAAAAACTGTATATTCATTATAATCTGGCTGCGCACGACATTAGGACAAAATGCAGTTATATGTCTACTCTCGTTCCGTTGTGCCATGCTATATTTCAAGTACAAATTACGGCGCAAATTTAATTGCCTTGCCTCGCTCTCCTTTGCGGTGCTGCTGCTGGTTACCAACTTTACGCCAGCAATTATTATTACTCTTATGCCGACAGCCAAAACCATAGAGCTTGTACCTATGCTCGAAGTGTGCCGTATCAATGACACATTTAAGACTGCTATACTGGTGCTCGGGTGGGTTGCTTTAGCATCACTAATGTTCGGATGTCTTTTACTAGTGCTCGCTGTGCGCTGTGTACATGGAGAGGATAGACAGTTGGCAATGGCATGCGCATATCTAGCAGCTGGGTTTATTTTCCATACGGTTGTATTCCAGACCAAGCCATTCTATAGTGCTTCTTTCCCCTGGCGCGCAGCAGTTGTCTGCATTGACCAGACTGCGGTGCTCTGTGCGTGGTGGTCTGTGGCAGGCGGCGGCATATACAACTGCATCTTCAGACGCCAGATACATCTTTTAGAATGGAGGCAGGCCTCTGTTGCCGCAAAGCTACAAGATAAACAATAATAACCAACAATGACAACCTCTAACATACAAGCATGCTATGGAATTTTACAAAAAAGACAAGGTTATATTGTGGATACGGAGACTGCATCAATTGTGGCCTGGATCAGCTCCACCAGTTCTTGCGTGTCAGACGACGATTGATTATTCTCCGCCAGTCGTTTCAAAGACTCCAGTAGCACATTTCTGCAAGACTCACAAACATCTTGGCCACTGTTCCAGGCCAATTGCATACTTGGATTCTTGCATATATCTCGTTCAACATTCTCCACTGCGCTATTTTGATCCCCGCACGCCGCTGATACACAGTCAATCCACTGGCGCCTGGTACAGCCCAGAAGAAAATATGGCATATGGCGTCGAGCCCGGGCAACATCATCGGAGGCGTATTTGTCAGTTGCCACGCGGCACACAGTATGATCCACAAGATCCAGAAGCGGGACTCGGCTCCACTCCGCCCCGGATTCCTTAGCAGCAGATGCAGATGATCTGCTAGCAATTACCCGCGCAAGCTCTTTGGCGCTCATAAACAGCAGCGGTCGCACCAGTCGCAAGACCTGATACGAGCGACCGAGACTTGGCAAGGCAACTCTCTTGCTTGTACGCGCTGATCCGCTAGCCAAGGCAACCAGCTGGCTGCAGCCAAACTCAAACTGTGTCACCTCGCCTGTGAGTCGCAGTCTGGTGCTCTCTGTAAGCGGAAACGCCAGACACACAACCCGGAAGTAAAGAAACAAATAGCGGTCAACCATCGCACACAGGCGCCTCTGACAGTCTGTTTCCAACAGCTCCAGAACCTGCGTCTGCAACCATTGCATTGCACGATCAATCCGCGACCATCCTGTGACTAAATCGTCGCTCTGGTGCTCTACGACGCTGCCGTTGGGATCCACAGCAACTACATACTCCTTTATAGCGTCGACAATAGCTGCATCCGCAGTGCTGAGCAATGCATCTGTCTGTTTGTCCACAAAGGTACTCAGCGTATAGAGGCATCTGCTGAGCATCTGCCGCACTGCTGCCGAGCCGCTACTAGTCTCTTCAATAGGACCAGGAGAGCTCGATGCATCACGGCTATCGCCAGCCGCAGCCGCAATTGAGCCAGCGCGTGACGAGTGTGCTGACAACTGGCGCGATGTGCGGCGGGTCATTGCAGACATTCTGCGCCTGGCTGGCCACGCTAGCGGGCCCTCGACCACGGCGTACTCCTGCTCGCACAGTTCTCCAAGTCCCAGCCGCAGCGATTCGACAGCATTGACAAGGCCCACATACGACCTGGTCAGCGGATTAACAGGCTCTGCAAGCGGATCCAGCACGCTAGGGTTGACGGTAATCGCGGATAGCTTGCTGCCAGTAATAGAGATAAATAACTCGACCGCAGCCAGGGCCGCCTTGGCCACAGCTCCACTGAGCCTGGCATCAGACTTTGCCATCTCGAGCTCCGTCGATATGCTGCGCACCACGCCCGCTACCAGCTTCCGATTGGGCACCACGTTGGCAGCCGTCATCCGATCCATATCTGCCAATGCATCCGGTCTCCGCTCTCCTGCTGGACTGCCAGCACGGCCAGGTGCGCCCCGGCCGCCCCAGCTCTCCTGTGCACCCAATAGCCCCGGTGGCGGCGGTGGCGGATAGCAGCGCTGAACCGCATCCTCAATACGCAACTCGGCCTTGGCCACATATTCGCTCTCGAACCTGCGCAACAGCTTCTCCCACAGCACATGTGGCCCTGGATCATTGTAGCTGATATTGGACGATTGCTGTGACAAGCTGCCGGACACAAGGGTGGGCGATGATGCCAATCCTACATTCGCTCCTTGCAAGGGCCCCGAGTTTCCACTCGCGCCGCCAATCGAGACAACGCCTCCGAACCTAGGAGCCAATATAGGCTCGAGTTTGGGCAAGAACAGCTGCACCAGCCGCGGATAGCTATTGGTAAGGATCTGCTTCACCACGCTGGATTCCGTGCATGCCGCGCTGACCTCTGCAGCCAGAGCATTGACGGCCGTGCCCCACCAGAACGCCAGCACGCGGTCGCCAAGCTGGCCAACGACAAGATCCAAAAAGGTAGTGCCCGGTCCATTAGTCACATTATCCGATCGTGGTCCATCCAGTACGCCGACTGATACTTCAAATCGCGGAAGAGCATCCCGCTTGCGGGCCAGCACCCGCTCAAGCACGCGCAGCTCCAGGCCGCGTGCCAACAACCCATCGACAATGGCCTCCAGTCTTTTCCACAGCACACTATCGATGCCCACCATATCGCTGCCATCGACAGCAGTGGCCTTGTCATTGTGCTCGCGTACATACGCATTGATTGCTTTCGGATCCAGCATTCCAGAGACATACTCGGCCCATTCTACAGTGTGCCTACGCACTCGATTTGCCACACACGTAGGCAGCACGCCTAGGTTGAACATGATCTGGAGCCCGCTGGCTATATCGCTCTGGTGCTGCCGTCGCATGCCCGCGTCAATCATCGATTCGGCCTCCGCAATCGTCTGCACGCGTCGCTGGTTAACTATCTGCTCCATCGCCCGGTCAACCACATGCACTCCAGCCAAGTCGCTTCCGCTCACTAGTTTCTCAATGTCCAACAATGTCAGCGCTGCAAGAGCATAGTCTGGCCGTGCTTCTGTGCTGGTAGTTGCCTTGCTAGGCTCAGCCACCACCACAACCACAGCAGAATCCGGGATCTGCACACGCAGACGCTGGACTAGCTGCATGAACCTTGATGTAGCGCGCACATGTGCTATTGCCAGCTGCAGATTGTTCGACTGGTTTGTGTACTTGAGTACCTGCTCGTATGGCACCCGGATCTTGGTGCGCAATCCGTGCATGTACGACTTTATCTCGCGCACCTGCTCTTCGATCTGCCCAAGCGAGCTGTCCACTGCTTTAACTCCGACTATCTGTCGTAGCAGATCTTCGTGCGATGTAATAATCGTGTGCCGCATAAGACCGTCTAGACTCTCAGCCTTGGTCGATAGCGACGCCATGAGCTGCACTATCCTGTCGGCCTTGGTGCTGGCATCATGTCCATTCTCCTCGCTGGCTAAGCTCTGCGCGTACTGCAAGGGCTCAAAGTGTGGACCAAGGAAGTCGCCAAACGCATCTTCAAAATGCCGATACTGGGAATCAGACGTAAACAGCTCGCCCGAGGCTGTGCTGGAATGCGGCGACAATCCGTTCATAGAAGAAGAAAAAAATGCAAAAGAAAAAGTATGAAGAAAGACAAGTGAACGAGCTCTGCTAGGAAATCAAACTTCACAAACGAGCACAGGCAGATGCAAAAAGAACAAAAAAGAGTCCGAAAACCCGGATTTGAACCAGGGACCTAGAGATTACCGATGGTGAGAACGTCACATACTACAGTCTCCCGCTCTACCGCTGAGCTATTTTCGGATTTCTGCTTCTCATGATTTTGGAAAAGTATATAACTTTAGCTTAAGTTTTACTTTTTACTTTGCGCAGCTACTGCAGTATCGAAGCGTGGTTTGCAACGCGAGCGTTAGCAG